TATTTAATATAAGAGTTAGTTAACTAATATGAGTAAATCAATAAAATTTGTTAGGTTAGTTATTTATAATACATAAGTATTATTTTTTTAAATACCCTTGTTAATTATGTCCATTAGTTAGAACAATTATTTTATTAAATCTTTAACGTGTGTAACTACTACAAAATTTACTTTAAAAAATAAAAAAATACGATAGATAGAGTGAATTAGGGTCGTATACTACTTCCTGCCTTTAATATAAGAGTTAGTTTCACTTGTATTTAGTCATAAATATAAAATTTTAATCAACTTTGTCTTTCATATTTATTCATTTTTTCTCCAGCTAATTCTTGTAGTAATAATAGTTCTAAACTTCTAACTAATACACTTAATTAACAAAAATATCTTAAGAAAAATAATATCTATTTATTACAAATAACTCAAATTAATCAATTAGCTCTTATATTAAAGACCGGAGGTAGTATTTAGAATTAAATTGAATATTAAACAGGCCCTTATATTAAAGACATAAGGAAATATATAAGTAAACCTATATTTTAAATAATTAAGTATGAGTCATGCCAATCTCCACGAAGAATCGAACACAAAGTGTTAAGAAAAAAAGCTCATTTTATAATTCATGCACAATTGCGCACACAACACACAGATATCATATTTTAAAGAGTCAATAACAATATTACCGAAATAGAAACTCTTGTATGGACTTATTTGGTTATGATCGCTTTTTTTTGCCCCCCAAAAAAAAGATGTTGCTATCACGTCTTTGCATTGTGTCATCTTTTGGCTAGGTCTGCAAGGCAGTCGTAAAATTTCAAACTGTCAAGTATTACGAGCAATACTAAAAAATCAGGAAAGTTTGTTCTTTTTCAGGATGATCTTGTTTAATCCATAAAGCATTGAATTAGAAAATAAAGACCTTAAATATTACTTTAATTTTGTTTTTTTTTAATGAAAGCAGAACAAAGAAGAATCAAGTGCTAATCGAAGACGATGCCTTTAAGTTTTTGTTTTTAAAAGAAAAAGGCGCACTATATGACACAGAGAAATCAATATTAATAATAAACAAGATATTGCACATAACAAGAAAGATGTGGTTATTTTTTGTGGGGAGGAAAAAGAAAAGGAAAGATGTGGCCGCGAAGCAAAGAAAGTGAGATCCTAAGATGAAGGTGGATGACGCCTTATTTAATTTGTTTCATGTGGGTCTATAAAGTACCCTACCCTCCCCTTGCTACTTTTATGCTTATCAAATTTTGGATATTACACTTCATTTTATTTTGTAAAGTTCCTCTCTCGATTCTGTTCTTATCGATTTTTGGATATTTCGAATCAATTCAGTTTGCCATGTAAATTTTTCCTGCTTTTCTTCTTAGCATTTACAAAGGAAATGTTGCTTCGGGCTTTGAGTAAACAAGTTATAAATTTCATATTACTCTTTCAGTTTTTAATATATGACTTGATTATTGTGTCAATTTTAGTTTTAAATATATATAAAACCTATTTATCTATTTATCAGTTTTTTAAATTATCTTTATTGATTAGCCCTTGACCATAATTAAACAGGAGAGAGATGAAGGATATTAAGAAAGATAATTATAATATTTAAAAAAAAACATATCATATTTTTTATAATTAACTAACTTACATAATTTTCTTAATCTAATCAATTTAGTTGAATATGTTTTATATTAATGACTAGAGAAGTATTGTTTTTGAGAATTCATTCTTCGTAAATCTCATGAGCAAATGAGATTGTATTGTTCTCCTTCTTCAAAATATATATACTCAAGTGCCAGAATTGAAATTTGGATGTTTCAAATCAATCATTAATTGTTGTTGAAAAATCAACCATTAATATCCAGTATTATTAATCAGATTCAAGCATTCTCGAATTTAAATGGGATCTTTTCTCAGGGAATTTTTTATATGCTCACGTGCTTGAATTTAAAACTTTATAAGTAAGAAGCCATAATCATTATCGATGGTTAATTCTTTTAGATATTAACATATAAATGTTTATGTATAATGTATGTATTAATGTATAAGCATTATACGACATATTCTTTCAATTTAAAAGATAAACCATACGATATGGATTCTGCACATGTGGGGGCAAAAAAAAAAAAACCAATCGCAATCATTGATACAGAGACACAAAGAGAAGGTCAGTATTATTATTTATTACTATCATTATGCGTGCGCGTACCCACTAAATCTAAATCTCCCAAACGATGCTTTCAACAAATAGTACGCAGGGAGTTTTTGGATATTCTTAGAAGCATTTTTTAAAGGTATTTTTTTTTATATAAATTGAGATAAATTTCTTTGTATATTTATTTTGTATATCATAAAACCACTTCTAAAATCGTGATTTGAGTTTCATCTAAACAACTTGTAATGACATTTGTTTTCTTGCCTATTAAAACAAATTTAAAAAGTTCCTTGAGCCTAGCGAAGGATATTTGACTTAATTTTTTTTTGTTAGTGAACTTGAATTTTTTATCCCGCATTCTTTCATCCATATCTCACAATTAATTTGAGAACAAATTGATGAAGATGAACTACTGATGACTCGATTTATAAAATATTTTTTAAAAATTTTTCTTGTGAATTTATCTTTATGTTATTTTATTGAATCATTCGCCATTAATAAGTATTTAGATTAAAATACTCCCGGATTTAATTATAATAACTTTCTTAATATATTTCTTCTCATTAATTCACAAACTGAAACATTTGATGTTAGCTGAGAGAAATATTGTCTTTTAACACAATTACATTAAATTGAGTTTGGTAAAATTAGACCGAGGCTCTATTTAGAATGACTCATAAGTAGTTTTTTAATTATTATTTATGGAGTATGAAGCAAGTCTACAAAAAAAGTTTTATTTTAACTTACATAAAATGTGCTAATAAGTGTTCTTAATCTTGATTCCAAGTGTAACCTATGATCAAAGTGTGATGAGAATTAATTGGTGTGTAAAATATATATATTCGCCAGTGAAAGATCAATTTCAGAAGAGGAATTAAGATCGTCAAACCCAGTCGCGACACAATCTTTTTGATGAAGTCTTAACAATTCACTCAGTCACTGAGTCTGCTTCCTGGGAAACCCAATGAAATTGGCAATTTCTTCCAAAATTTCTTAACAAATCACAGGTTAGTTATAAGTAGTATCCGAGAGTCGAGATGTTAACAACGTATTCCCACCATTCATAAACATTTTTTTATAAATAAAAAATTTGGATAAATTTTTATAAATTAGTATTTATCTAGTTTTTGTATTTAAAACCAAAGTGAATTATATTAAAAAAAAATGTTGATTGGAGGCGAAAGCAGGACGATAAATGCGGGAGTAATAGGCGGAGTGGCGCCATGTCGGCATCCGACTTTTGGCGGACCTTAGCAAAAGTTGGTAGGCATCAGATGAACGAACAGACCTCATTATTTATTTCTTAAATTAAATAAAGAATCGGTGGCTTAGAGTTGATCAAAGAAAAACACACAGCATATATAAACAAAAAGATTAAAAAGAGGAAAAGAGAATCATATCAAAACGCATATCGATATGCAGCAGCGGACGATAATAAGTGGAGATTTTGGTGGGCGCTCAATCTTTTGGATCACGAAAAAGGCCATATCCCCCTCCCCAAAAAACTATTATTTCAAATCTTTATATGTCGTTAGAGGTTAAGTACAGTGAAAGAGACTGGTAATGACGTGACGAATTAATATTTAAATCTTTTATAGAAAAAATACATTTAATATCTGATAGTATTTTAAATAGAATTATCTTTAATAAAAGGATATTTATACATAACCAAAAAAAGTCTTCATGTGCCATCTCCAATCATTTATTATTTCCATATTTTGCTTCTCAACCTTACTATTATTGCTATCAAATGCCAATCTTTTGCTCCCAACATCTATCATTCATTCCCCAACATATTTACTATCTCTCTCGCATTACCATCCTTTGGAATAAAGTCCTCTTTAAAGCCTAAACACAGTTCTTGATTCCCCCCTATACCCACTCCATCTCTTATACTTCCTGTCTCCCCTAAATCCCAGTTCCACTGTTCCCAGAATATTAATATTCACTCACACATGCCATTTTCAATTCATTGTTCCTTTGCTGTTTTTTTTTGACCCATATATATCTTTATGACTAGCTCATTAATATTTCCAAGGCTGCCTGAGTTGACGTATAAAATATAATATAGGCACATAGTTGATGCCATCCACGATTCCACTCACACTCGGTGCAAAACGTGCAATCTAGATGCGATGTACCCAATATGCCGATTTTCTACTTATTTTTTTTGGGCATCTTAACTATTTTTATGGCTGTGCCTTTTCTCCCCTTTCCCTGGGTGAGAAACGGCGGGCGGCTATTTGATAGTCCATTGATGGGGTGTAAATAAATACAAGTTGTTTGCCTATGTTAACAGCTCTACCATACAATGAATGAACAGCCAGCAATACACAAGTTTACCAAGAATGATATCTATGTCCATGTATGTGTGTATCGTAAATATAAAATAAATTGTACTACAAACTAGTTTCTATATTTTATTTAGGATCGAAAGATATATATAAATTTCTTCCTGGACCATGGGATGTAGGAAGCACGTTGCGGCTTCCTTCTCTTTGGGCTCACCCAGGCTTTGCTTTGACATCATGAATTGATAACACAACAGTAAAGCTGGTACGGTAAAGAGCTTCATGAATGCCGGAAAACGACGCCTGCGTTTCAGCTCGCAGCGCCGACCCACCCATACATACGCGTGCCTCCTCCCATTTTTTCCTTTCCCCGCTTTTAATGCCGTTTTACGCCTCCTCCTCTGCCTTTTGTGTTCCTCAGAAAAGTTGGATCGGGTTTCTGTACTTTGCTATTCAATAATGCAGCTTGCTGGCAGCAAAAATATCATAATAACAGAGACCCGTGAATCTAATAATAACAAAGAATACACAAGCCCGCGGCTTCAAACCTGTGATAGTTAGATCAAATGCTTCTTTTCCTTTATACATTAATTATGTGCTCACAAACTCAGTGACTCCATAAGATTCTATTACATATAGATTCTACGACCCTTGGATTTCATATCAATAAAGCTCTAAAAAGAAAAAAGCATAAAGGTATCGATGTCATTCAGATAAAACCATTTTGTTGAGGAGATGATAACCATTATGAACATGTCCGTTCCCTTCTTTGTCCCAAATATACTCTTTCATGTAAAACTCAAATTTTTCAACCACGCCCTCCGGCACTGACACCATCACCCTCGCCGCATCAGAATCACCCACCACCGGTAAAAACAAGCAGTAAATATCACTGGTCAAAGGCCCCATTTGCAGTGCCTTCCCTCCTCCAAAGTCTAACTCTTCTAACCCTAGCTTCGACCACTGTGATATTACCAAGCTGGCCGATAGATCCGTTTTTACTGTTTTGTCCTCCAACAAATCAATCATTGACCTCACTTGCCCGTCGTCCAGCCTTGCCTTCTCTTGTTGCACCAGTTTCACGCCATTGCACAGGCCGGTCTCCAGCAACTCCTCTACTGTGCTCTCCACGCATCCTAACACGAATCCGTTCCCATAATACCCCTGAGGGATTTCTGGGCTCAGCTTTTTGCGAACGTTGACCGAGAAGAGGAGCTTCACATTGAGGGCGGGGGATAGGTCCAGCGATCGAACCCAGGAGCGCCACGTGTGCGAAGCCAGAGCTTCAAAGGTCGTGCACTTTACGACGCACTGCTTCTTGAGATGAAGAAGGTGAGAAGAGGTGAAAGTGAAGCACGTAGCCACGAGGGTCTGCGACTGCAATAACTTTACCAGGTCCACCTGAGATGATGATGATGATGAGGAGTTAGTTTTTGTGTATCCCGAGTGAGAAAACTTCACCTGAGGAGGATTCCGAGGCTTGAGGATGTTTCGAGAATGAAAGGGCAGTATCGGCAGATCACCATTCGGCGATGTGGTGAGGTGGGCCCAGGCGTTTAAAAACTGCGATGTGCCCAGGCCATCGCATATACAGTGGTTGATGGCGGTACACACCGCCATTCCTCCGCATCGGAGACCCGTCACCTGTGAAGATAACGAGATGAGGATATTATGGTCAGTTTAAGTAAAATTAATTTAAAATATGATACAAGGCAAGGTGGAACAGCCGTATATTATATACATTTACACACATGCTTTCGTGAAAGCAACAAAAGGAGGCATAATATTATCAGCATTTCAACACAGAGATCCCAACCTCGAAACATGATTTTGAAAGTAAATGCATAGGATATGACTATGACCACATAAAGTTGAATAATAAGAGGGAGGGAAGATATAAAGTTGCCATCAAGATTTCACGAAGGCATAAAAGATTAATGGTCCTTTCCTTTTCTTTTTTCCCCCCCTCAACCGCGTGCTTGTTGAGGTAATTTCATGTATCGAGAAAGGAATCAATTGCGGGGAGAATTGTTTAAAGAGAAAGCTGATCAATGACGTTGATGATTGCTTGGAAGTGTAATCATTACAGGTAAGCACTGAACCAGTTGGAGAATGCAAAGCCTTCAAGAGATCTGAAATCTGAACACCCTTATTATTATCCGGCGGGGAATATGCACAGTAACATACCTAATAAAACTTAAAAAACTAATATATTCTAACTAGTCGACAGTGAAATACGCACGGACCTGACATCTCTGTTGACAGAACAAGCTCCATTTAGTTGCTTTTTATACTCCATGCACAAGGCATGAAGCAAGTTTTATGTACTTTTTTTCGGTCGAGTGAACTTTATGGGAACAAAGTAAATTTATAAGTCAATATGTTCATTTCTAAGAATCAGTGAAACAAGAGAGTTTCTTATTGCCAATTGGGTTTTACTGTCTGTGGTAAAAAAAAAAAAAAAAAAAAACCCAAAGAAGAAAGAAAAGCTGATTGAGAATAAGAGGAAAGAAATGAAACAAACAAGAATCAGACCTGGACAATAAGAGGAGGAACGTCCAATAAACTCTGAGCTTCCACCTTAAATAAGAGCTTCCTCCAGGACTTGTTTGGCATGTTGGAAGATTCTAGTAATTCATCGGCGGTGATGGGCATGAATGCTTCGACGAAAAGAGCTCCTTCTGCGTTGCAGTCCACGTGGAGCTTCCCTTGGTCTTCATCGCTGGCCCTCAATCTTCCAGCTAATGGATAGTAATCCACGAGAACTCTGGACAAAGAAAGCTTCAACGCATCAAAGCTCACTGATTTGCGGAACAGATAAAAATACTTAATGGAGAATCTGAGGAACTTTTGGTCGTCAAGGTTTGAGAGATAGAGAGAGTGATTTGGTGTAGGAGCACTCGGGCGGATTATGTTGGGTGGATTAGAACATGGACAATCTGGGAGGTCCCTGGATTTTGATTTTAGCATTTTTTTTGGCTCTCAAATCTTCCTAGTACTGTAGCAGTTTTCAGATAATGATGACGATCGTTGCCAGGAGATGGAGAGGAGGTGGAAGACGAAGGAGAGGGAGGGGCTTGATTTGAGTGAAAAGTTAAGGGAGATGGGGCAAAGCTGAAACAGAGAAACGACACATCATCTTAAAATCTAGGTACGATGAGATTCCACTGGGTAGAAGGGAAGGCTAAGATGAGGGCAGCCTCATCGTTAAAAAGCGTACAAAGTTTTATGGAGATCTAATTTTTTTTATTTGAAATTGAAATTGTATTTAATTTCTTTTTGTTTTTAAAATATTTTTAAATTAAAATTTTTTATTTTCATTTTTATTAATTTTTAGAGAGAATTACCAAGAGATCCAAAAAAAAATTTAATTGTTAAAAAGCAATAATAACAAGTGACCAGTCTAAATATATTGTCATTCTCACTTTAAAATTTGTTTTTGTTTACTTTTTATTTGTTGATGGACGTTAGAATAATTTAAATCTTTTTTTGGAACTGATTGTAATTCTTCCTGATTTTTATGAACCTGAGTATATGTTTTTTTGAATGTGAAAAATAATATATATTTTCTAAAAACAATGACGTCTTCTTTAAAATTTAAAAAAAAAAAGAATTTTAAGATAAATAAATTAGGTCATCAAAATTATTTGACATTATACTTTTTATTATTAATTTTACATAAAAATTATATTAAATTAAAAATTACAATAATAAATCTCAACATATTTTGGTTATATTAACTGGGACACTAACCGCAAGCCCTTTTCGAAGGAAAAATAATTATTATTTGAAGATCCGAGACGGAGAATATTCACCGTATCCTCCACAACACATGGACCGTTGCAGTTACTCTGCCTTAAAAGCACCCGTTTGCTTACGGTTAGTGATGATGACTTCACCAGCTAAATTGCGTTCCACCTGTCCAACGAGGATGCATATTGCATATATGAAGATGATGGAGCCCCAATTACGCCAATTTTAATTAAAAGCAAAACAAAGAAAAGAAAGAAACCTAGTAAATGGTCTATCGTGTGATAGATGACCATTTTGGAAAAGCCCGAAGATGGATTAACACACGCAAGCAACAATGTTATGATGAATTAGAATTTGTCTTTGTGGGCCTCATAGTTGAAACTGAAAGCATCGAAGCGCTCCCTGTCTCTGTCCCAGTGAATTCGAAATGTAAGTTGTTTTGGTCTCTGGGAGTAATTTAAGGAGAAGGTTTGCAAAAGTTAAAGTTTGAGGTACACGTGAAGTTGAGAACGAAGTGAAAACTTTGGCTGGTCCGCTCCTAAAATGGTCAAATCAAGCTGAAAGCAAAGGGGAAGGACTCTCTTTTCTAGTCGTCATTTCAAGGTGTCATATCATCTCAAATGCCACGCTAACCTCAAGTAATGCGATTCATTATTATGGTGCTAGTACCATCGTAGCACCCTCGTGTCCAACTCTGGGGGAAGGGGAAGGGGAAGGGGAAGGTGGGGGGGAGATAGAGAGAGCCCAGTTGCATGTCTGGCTGACAACAGTGTGGCTCCATTGTTATTTGTTATACAGTGGTGGATTGGACAACGTTGTTTATTCATGTTTCATTATTGTACTCTGTTTCGCTGTTGTGCTTCAGGATGCTGCCTCTTCTCTGGCTTTAGGCATCTGTGCGGACTCATTCAAGTTTTATGTTTATTGTCCCTCCTTCCTTCCCGTATTTATGTGGACCATAGTTTTGAGTAAGAGCTTCTTTAATCACGGACGACATTCCCAGCAGGGACGCTCTCCAAATGAGCTTGTCTTCAATGAGTTCGGGTAAATAAGAAAAAAATTACAAAATCTCTATAAAGTGATAGGAAAACAAAATCATTAATCTGAAAGAAGTACTCATAATTTAGCCTGTTAGTCATCACTGCCATGACCAGGTTCAACCAAAAAATGCAGCATCAATGAATTTGAGTGAACTTCTCATATGATTACCTGCCAATAGGGACCATATACGGTAACGCTTAATTAAAATCTGGTTTATCAGCAATTCAAATCATCTGCCCTTTTCTTTTCTTGCAGATTAATTTTCAGTTTTCAACAGATTCTTATCAAAATTTATGAATTGTTTATAGATAACTTTTTAATCATGACTTACAAAATACGAAATAAGTATATGAAAAGAATTTTATCTCGACTTTATAATCGTGCTTATAAATACTTATAATTATGATCCCAAACAAAGCTTAATAACATTCAAATGAGATTAAGAAGATGTTTGGATAGAAATCAAACCATAATTTCAAAAGTGATTTTACAATATACGAAGTAAATATATGGAAGAATTTATCTGAATTTGTGAAAAAGTATTTTTTAAAAACACTTCTCCTAATTCCCAAACACCCCCTAAATTGTTCAGTGTTCAAACACGGTTCGACCTGTTAAATTGATTAAACATACAGTAATTGATGTGAACCCTTCAAACAAAGGCTGTACTGACTAAGCTCTGGCTTAACGATCATTTAATCCAAATATAATAATCAACAAACTTGGGAGAAAAGGCAAAGAACTTTGAGAGAACATGTATCCATCTTTTTGACTTTTGAGAGATTATCAGAATAGGGAATCTAATTCTCGCCGAGAACGAGCACAGGTTCGATTCAACGGCTTTTGACTCTCGTCAATCTGGGGACCAAATTCTATCATTAAAGAACCCCCACCCCACCATCACTAATTCACTAGAGCCTGATCCGTTACGTAATACGTTAAGTTCACACCATAAGACCAGTATAATCTGACATCATCTTAGATCATGCTCACTATTGGACTAACTGTTCGTCTACTAATGTAATTGTCTCCGATGTTGAAGGCCTGCCATCTTTTGACCTGATATGCTAAAAAACGGACACAAGAAATGGCACACAGTGCAAGCCAATTATAGAATGCGACTTTCTGGGATGATTCAGGACCACGTTAACGTGATGTATACATAACATAAAATTCTTAACAAGTCCTACAATTCATGAGTTATGAAACAGTGCAGCCCACTTCTTCGATTCCGTGGAAGGCACAGACTCATACTAACTATTACAAATTAGGTGAAAAGGTAGGCAGCTATTGCATCTGGAGAAGTGTGATTGTTTTACAACCGAGCAACATATGAGTTTGATTGGGTGACATATCTAACCCATCGATGTGGATTATGAGCTTTTGACTTCATCGCTATTTGCAAGTACTTCACCTGTGGCACAACAAGTGGGATCTTAAAATTACTCGAGATTACAAGTGTTTATTTAAGTAGAAAAAGATGAGAAAAACAGCCGGCAATGATGGGTAACAAAGTTGATAATATGATCCTTAAATCACGAAGACGATAACCCAGTTTCAACAGAGGAGAGCCAATTTCGAACACTCGATTGGTGATTACTAAATTGCTCTCACCATCAAGGTTTCAAACGACTCCTCGGTTTCAGTTTTAGTAGGCACTAACTGATTAATCAGGATAGGCAATCTATCAGTAGATAATAGGTTAATCTTTGATCGTATTGAAATTCTTGCCATAGTGGACTAGAAAACCAGATTCAACAAAGCATTTCATATATACGGAAGCCATTTTCTTTTAGCCAGTGATATAGACAGATACCATTTAATTTCTTAGATTAACAGAACACTACTGTTACAAGTCATGACAATGGTTCAACCAGAACCACGAAAAATTTCTAGATCAGGGCATCCAGTTTCAGCCCATTAACAAGAAGTATATTTCAAATATAGCTTCGAGAGAATTTTCAATATTTTACCTTAAGCCTTGAAGCACTGTACATGGGTATAGTGAAGGACATGCTAATTGGCCCTGCTTCCTTCATAATATTTCCTGTGCTCAATACAAACAAGTTAAATTATTCGCAGGGATGTATCTCGTCAAATATCCAAAAAGAACATCCAGTAGCGCAGTACCATGTATTTCTTGTGAAATGTAAGCTTTGCACGTAAAGTATGCTCAGTTCCACCACCAATCTGCAAGAGAATGGACGAGTCAACACTAAAATCCAATCCTACCAGTGTAGTAATTATAATAGCATCAAATATGCAGATGTGGAAACTATAGTGGAACTAAGACAAACTACTGCAAAAACTTAAAATCAATTATTTGGGGTAATATAACAGATCGTAAGTTCAGAACTACCTTCTTTAAGCCCCACTCCAGTCTCTTATTTGCTTCCTTAAAGTCCGTTGTTCCAACAGCCCCGGGCTCCAACTCAAAATTAACACTGAGTTTCAACAGGTAGGAAAAGCAAGCAGCTAAGATGGTAAGAAGACCTTCAAATGCACAATAAAGCACCCATTTCTTGTGCTTTGGAGAAGCTTACAGTTCAATTGTGCACTTGGACATGCAAAGCCAGTTCACTATACGCCCATATAAGGGCATCCAAATGTTCAATTATGTTGTCTCTAAATTTGCTTCATTGTCCCTATCCTTTTTATCTTTATCATCATCGTAGAGTAGGTCAAAGGTAATTTAAAAGGGACAAAACCCAAGAATGACATGTATCTCAGACTAAATGTTACTATGTATTAGGCTGTGTCAGCAAAAAATTGTGCCTCTGCTATGTAACTTTTATGTATATGAAGGAAGATAATTGGATTGAAATACCGAGTTGTGTATGTTGGAAGTGGCATCTCTATAAGAACTGTGTTAGCATTGATGCTTGGTAAGAACTCTGCTCGCACTTTGATGATCACTTCAGCCTAAGAAAATTACAGACTTTTGGAGTGATAAACAAGACATTAAGATGTCGAAAATCATAGGGCGTTTAAATCACCTTAAGGGGTCCTGCTTCTTCAATCAATGCACTGATACGAAAGGGTGGCTTAAATGGTTGAGTCATTCGATAATTCATGACAGGAAACTCACCATCGGATGGCACCTACAATAAAACAATGATTTGTCAAGAGATTCATATATAAAACCTTTCAAACTGATATATTTATGGTGATCAACTATGAACTTACCAACGTCAAAGTTCGGTCAATGTCAAAATCATCAAGGTGCACAGATTCATGGAAGTTACAATCATCAAGGATAACAGCCCCTGAACTTCTATAATCTGTCAAAAGAGATGACTAAATGACATCAGGGATATATTAAAGACTATGTTTCACAACAAGGGGAATTCCCCAAAAAAAAAAAAAAAAACCTAGCTAGCATT